CCACTGGATACACATTCCCGCTTTAGAAAAAAGTCCTATTTACTGCCAGTCTTATTAAACTGTGTGAGCTAACATAAAGTTATACAAAGCTGAAACTCTTGCTCAGGACTTCATATCTGTTCATCTGTTGTTTTATTTTGCTCGACAGCAAAAAGATTTTGGACAAATGTAAGAAACACTTTCAGTAATATTGAACGTCCAGGTCACAGTTTGGTCAGTTATGTGTCTAATGAGAAGAAAAGTGCAACATTAAACCCGGAACAACACGACAAGCGACTATTTATAATCAGTGTTTCACTCAGCGAAACAGGCAAAACTCGTCAACTGGGAAGCGACCAATAACAGTCGTTTATACTGACGATGACTGGTTCAGTGACTTTGTAGACTGATGGGTTTCTATCTCAGCTCTAAGCGGAGCAGCAGCTCTGCTGGGTGTGGTCAGCTGTAACCACACCCCGCTCCACCTGGAGGACACTTGTACATCGCTGCAGCGGGCTGAGACGCTCTCCGGACCCCAAATCTGATCATGGAGGAACAGAGTCTGTTTCTGTGTGAAACGTGAAGGATCTTTTAGTTGCGTCCTTCAAGATGTGTCACACCGCCAGTACTTTACCTTTTCAGTTCTGTGTCTGAAAATGATGCACTTAATTTTGTCTTCATTCCAGCGACATTAAGGTCATTCAAACAAAGAAAGAGTCTTTACATGACATGCACCATGTCCTGTGTAGTCCAGATGTATTTTTAAATAATTATTTTTCTCTGTAAATGTTTTTTTTTTTTAAGAGAAAATGAGCCACTCGTGTGTGTTTACAACAGAAAATGGAAACACTAGATGTCAAATCTGTTTTCAGTCAATCAGACCTGGAACAAAAATGTATTGTAAGACATCATTAATCTAATGCATCTTTTAGGCCTCGTCATGCACGTTAAACCTTCTGTGGAACATCTCAGCATTAACCTCCAATTAACATTTATATGTGGCTGTACAGCTAAAACATGCTCTGGCTCATTTTCATGTAAAGTCAAGTTTTAACTACAAACTAAAGATGTTTGAAAACCTGATATTTTAACTTTTTTCTCCTTTAAAGGACAAAAAGACCAAAACCACCACTTATTAAAAGATTTTTTTATTCACAATAGAAGTGTAACAAATATAGTTTATTAAAAAGTCTGCTGCTCATTAATATCATTTTAATCCATAAGCTCAGAAGATTTTTATATAAATGTAGAACGGCTCCTTTGCCAGAATGGAATATTTACATTTTTTTAATAATATTAACACAATAAAACAAATTTCCCCACAAAATTAAAATATTGCATATAAACCAAAGTAAACTATGTGCAATGGAATGATTATCAGCAATATTTTTGTACAGATACATTTCTGAGGTTGGTTTCACACATTTAAACCTTTTAAAGGGCAATGCCAAACATTTTAAGAATTAAGATTAGATCAGTCTCATTTAGTGCACCACTCAGAAAGAAGAAGAGATGTCAGTGTGATGTATATAAGTTTTCTTTTTCCACAAAGACTGACTAAAATATGAATTCCTAAAATGGGCGGCATTTCCCTTTAATGTTCACTAATAGAAAAGCGTTGGAACGCAACAGATCATCAACACAATATTCAGAAAAATCACCAAAGACAATTCAACCTTTTTAGGGAACAAAAAGAAAAATGAAAAAAACGAGCAGATGCCTGATGATGTCACACTACGTCAAGCTGAAGCAGATTTAACACTGACGGCTTACATGAACAACCGCATTCGTTCTGCATTTCCTCCCCGTCCAGGTAGTGAAACAACCAGATCAGTGTCACGTGAGTGAAACAAAAACAAAAAATAAATCCAGCGGGGCACCTACAGAGGTAAGTCCAACCACATGTAGAGCCTAAAAGTTCTGACTTCCTCCTGGGGAAAATGCAGCGGATCAGCCCTTCAAGTTTAAATTACAGGTCAAAATCCTGACTCAGCCTCCACGCTTCCTAAATAAAGGGTTGCAACTCTGCACACAGTTACATTACCACACCTCAATGTTCTGAGAATCGAATTTCTGGCTGCTGAATTGCACGAACAAATCTCAACACAGGCAGGAACTTTGTAAAACTAAACCCTAAACCAGGAAACAATGTTCATTCAAATACCCATTAACAATAAAATTATTATCACTTCATACCACCATAATTACTGCGGCAAAAGACTACAACATGCAACCCCCACCACCGCAAAGTTGACAGTTTGACAACTGGACAAAGGTCATGAGAATTATCAAAGCTTGTCAAATCCAGGCAGCACCAAAACCTTAATGTTGCAATGTCGCCTAAAGTGTATGGAATTCTGAACGGAGTCAAAGAAATTAATGCAACTCCATCATTTATCTATAATTTGATTAAAAATGAGCGACACTCAAACTCAGCTGAAATAACATCCGCTGCTGCTGCAGCAGATACTGAAACTATTTCCTGTCTTTCTCCTGCTGGGACATAAATCTATAGATGCAATAACTTATCAATTAATTGACTGGCAGAAAATTAATCAGCTACTATTTTGATAATTGATTAATCAGAATTTTTTTTAAGCAACAACTCCAATCATTCTCTGGTTCCAGCTTCTCCAATTTTCTCTGTTTTATATGAATGTAAACAGAGTATTTTTAGCATTTTATGAACCGAACAATTAAGCAGTTAATCTAGAAAATGACGGGCGGAGTAGTTAATAACGAAAATAAAACCAAACACACCTATGACATGTCCCATGACAACAGTGTGCAGAGACCAAGGTGAACTCTGTTAACTTGTCTAATGGTGCTTCGCCTGCCTGAATAAAACCAGCACGGCTTGACTGATGCCTTTTGAAAGTAAAGTCATTTTAATTGGTCCCCAGCTCCAGATTTACCGACAATAACTTTCAATTTGCCGGTTTAAAATCAAGTTTAAAGGGAAAAAAACATTAAAATGTCTTTATAGTGGACACTGAGCTACATTTAGGGCCAATAAGGTGAAAAAAAAAATCATCTTTATCTTAATTTGTTCGATAAAGAAACTGCAAAGCTGATTCAGTGACTATCCACACTTATACAAAACACTTAGGAAGAAGAATCATGTGACTTCAGACTCATCATAAGCTCTGAACAGTGTACATCAATCATCAGGTCTGAGCATTAGTGACAGATTCAGGTTTCTGACTGTCTCTGGATTCGTATCGAGCAGCTTCAGTATCTCAACACTACACTGTACTGTTAACACTTAAATCCACTTGGTTTATACTATAAAGCTGAAAATCCCCATATCTCCATTCTTATGTTTGAGATCCTCAAAACAATAAATGAAAAACTGCGACTCTACCGTGTCCTGATACAACTCGTGGCAGATTTGGATCATTTCCTATGTTAACGCCATCAGACCCGCAGCTCCCTCTCATTCTGTGAACCGCAGACTTCTCTCCGCCTGCACACATCGCTTTGACTTTTTGTGCTTTACAAGATAAAAGAAGAAAACAAAAATAAAACACAACAAAAGCACATAGAAGTGAACAAACAAAGACATAATGCATATAAAATATTCTTCACTTCACATTGGATGGTACATTCATACAGCTCCTACCCTCCTGTGAGGTTGTCTGACTGACTCCCAGGTGGTTTCTTCACCTTCTTTCTTCAATAGTTAACATCATCATTAAAGGTACCAAGTGTAGCATTTCAAAACATCCATAAATAATTGGTATAATCGCTGTAAGACCCACATCTTCACAGCTGATTATTATGGTTCTAAATATCATATTTATGTGTTATTGTCTTTTTCTGACCATTTAAAGCCACAGCGCCACCTGGGGGTCAGAGCCCAACACCTCTGAGTCCTATGTTCACTACTACAGAATAAATTAACACAATCAGCAAAATCAACCATTACAACACATCATCACATGGATAGTAGAATAAATGCCTCTAAACCCAAGTCTAACAAAACAAAAAACACAGATTAAACACGGAGACACTGTCGTCTGTACAGTGATGGAAAGAACATGGAGGGATTTCTCACAGCTCGGAAACTCAACACTGTTAAATTTGAATGGGAGTGGCTGCTGACTGGTATGTCTTTGTTGGTTATCACATGATCAGGGCTCACTGTTTTTGGTTTTTATTTTAAATTTTTTTATTTAATTTTGAAATTTAGCAGTTTGTCACTTTATTTTAAAATTTCCAATCAAATAAAACGTAACATCATCTGGGATTTTACTGGATTTGAAAATACTAGTTGCAACACAAAGCTTGTGTAGTTGTTGTAGTAATTTCTTTCTTAACCTGCTCATGGGGATTGTGAAGCATTAGCATTAGCTCATTTGCTGGTCAGCAACTTCTTGAATGTGTGGACATTAACATCAGGTGAACATCTGTTCATCCTTTAATCGATTTTAGCCTATTCTTTTAGTGAAACTCAATAAAAACCAAAAAACTGAGGCCGAAACCTGTGAAAAGACAGTATGTCACCATCTTCATATACTGCTGTATAGTGGCTCTCTGTTATATGTTTCTGTCAGATTTCCTCTCCTGCTGTGAGACACCTGGGCTAAATGCTGACAGCTGCCGTTTAAACTGTCACTCAGCTCGGCCAACTCTCGTCATTCTGTCAGATGGCTGAATTCAATGAATCTACTTGAAGTATTTTCGGCAGCGAAGTCGTTGTTGTTGTTGACTGAGCTTTTTAATGACTCACCATCTGTCAGATCTCCCAGTGACACTTTAGTCTGCTTAAAGCTCATTTACAGGAGCAGGAGGTGAACACGGCCCCCGCCATGATCCACCACTTTTCTGTGTCAAGATAAAGGCTCAAACTAATGAACATCTGGCAAAGTTAACGACTCATAAGTTTAAAACTTGTACTACAAAATCGAAGATACATGAAGTATAGAATAAAGATAAAGATTTTTTTATACTTTCTCTCACGAGCAGATCTCTTCTAACTATGGTACTCTGAGTTTATATATATATATATATATATATATATATGTATACTGCAGTCTTTTAGCCGGGACTCATGTGTACTGTAATAGGAAACTCTCACCACTAGATGTCAGTGTAGTCAAGCAATTATCTAAATTGTGAGTGGGACCTTTACTGGTCTCAAACCATTAAATGATGGTTACTGGTTGGAGAAAGACTAGTTTGAGCGCATTAAGACTTGTAGTTTCTGGTTTTAAAACTCTATGTATGTAATTAAATCTCAGAAGGACCTTTGGTCTGATCTACCACTTTCTCCCCAAGTTTTCACCAACTCTTGGGCGACTTTCAAGCCAAAGTTTCATTGAATATCACATTAAAATGTAAGACTTATCCTTTAATCCGTGTCTAGTTTTGGTTTAATCCTCATGTGAGGCACGGGAACTTCACTTAAAGCTACGAAGTTATCTAAAACTCTACTCCTTTGTGTTTGTGAGCTGTCTCTCCCTCTGACTCCTTTTCAACAGTGAAGGCACTAGATTGAAGACTAAACTGGATTTAATCTGGCTACAGTTGCGTGCGGCATCTGGAGGAAACCCGACTGAACAATCAGGTGAGTGTGACTTTGATCAGTGGAACAAAAGCAGGAACACAGTTGGTGTCAGTAAAGCCACATGCCCCCAGGATGAAGGGAACTAAAGTCCTAACCACAGAATGGTAAAGCTGTATTGAATCAGTATGGCTTCTTGTGATTGTGTGTGTGTGTGTGTGCGCGCGTGTGTGTGTGTGTGTGCAGGTGTGTGTGTGTGCGAAGGTGGAATATTACAGTGAAGTGGAGAGTCTGCGTCTCCTCATAGAGGAGAGTAGATCCTACAGCCTGCCCTACGCTCCAACTGGAGGACGGAGACGAGAAGAAGCGATGCGACAACAACAAGAGAAGGTCCGACTGATACACAGGTTTACCGATACTGAGACCAGCGGTCTACAGGACACACTGGAGTCAGACTGTACAAATATCCATTCATGTGATCAATCCGCTTTCCTCTGAAGTGGAGACTAAAAGTTGTTTTTACACATGAAAAGGTTCAGATTTAAAAAGGTACTAACTGTTGCAGCAGGAGTCTGTTGGATGTCAAGACTCCAGGAAAAAAAACAAGGTTGAAATTTCATCATTTCAAATAACGCACTCCAAAACTTAACTCGAGGTTCTAGGCTTACTAGCTTTTGCCAAAGCTTTCAACCACTCCCCATGGTCTTACTGATCCCTACAACGGCTAAGTGACTGAGGAAGACTGTAAGATGCAAGTGAAAGCTCCAGGAAAGTGCACCCTCATCAATTTCACTCTCAGAATGCTGTAATCACTGTTTTTCCCAAAAAACAAAACAACAAAAAACAGCAAACTTGTAATTATTAGCGAGGGGGAAAGTAGAAAAATAAACAATGTGATAAGATTAAAGCTTGGGAGAAATTAATAAAAATATTGGAAAACATCACCAGCTGTATCGGTCAAACCCCAGAAACATTGGTGCAAATTTGAGAAAGAGAAATAAATCTAGAATCCAAAAAGCCAGACACAGGTACAGACGAACTAAGGACTAGCTAAGCAGAAGAAGAGCTGTGGGTAAACGTCCTGGAGAGAAAGTGAAATTACTGGCAGATAGAGAGCTGGTGTGGCTGCTCATCCTGTGTCACACCAAACTCAGAGGAAGGGAGGGAGGAAGGGAGGAAGGAAGGAAGGTAAAAGGTGAAGGAGGGGATGCAGAAGGTTTATAAAACGGGGCTCGGGTTGTGCTGCGTCCTTATCTTTACTCCCACAGAGACAACCACGTGCTTTTTAGAAAAAAACAAATGTTTCCGTGACGACGGTGCAGTAGTCCGGTGGTGGCGACGGCGGCGGCACCAGTGTTGGCACAAGAAAACCGGTTCCCATTCGGATATTGAAGCAGTACAGCAGACGGAAAAGACGATGCGTGTGACGTGAACGGAGCATCCCTCAGCTCGCTAAGTCCACCTTGTGATCCTCAGACGAGAGCTGGAGTTTTTTTTTTTTTTAGGTTTGGTGCCCAAAAGACCGATGGTCCAAAATATCCACATTAGGGGAGACGACTGGTTCAGGTCTCTCAGTGTTCTCCTTCAAGAAAGCCAGACAGCGCTGTAGCTACGAAAAACTGAACAACTGATGAATAATGTGATAACTGCTCAGATTGTCCCTCTGAATGAGCTGAAAATGTGATGGACCCTGGGAGTGAAATAAACTCTAATAATAAATCTAGAAAGTACCACTTTTATAATCCGAGAATATTAATATATCACTGCATTATCCTGTAATTCATCACAACATGGTTTCAACTCATGTGGAGGGACAATCTATTACATTTTGACAAGTTATTACATAATCCAGCAGTAAACATGTTGGTCCACGTCAGCGTCTGGACTCAACCAGAGCTGAACATTAACAAAACAAAACAACAAAACGGGACTCTACAGCGACAATTCAGCTCCAACAGGCTTCAATTCAGTTTTGATCCCATTGAAAATAAAAAGTCAAAGCCGATCAAGAGGCATCTGTAACCATTGGGGACTCCAAATGGCTAAACTGTTTCAGACAGACAGCTGGAGGCTCAGGTCTACAGGATCAGAGGTTCTCGCACTTGTTTTGGGACGTCAGCGCAGGACGCTCCACTACTCCACTTCGTTGGGTCTGTCTGTTTTGTCCTTCTTGATGACGGGCAGAGGGTGAGCCTCGGTGTTAAAGACCCAGTGGTCGAACGGTAGGTGGTCGTCGTCAGAGAAGAGCAGGTACAGATACCTGGAGGAGACAAATGAGGAGAAAACTTTAATAAACACACATGCGCGCACACACTCACTCTCTCATACACACACACACATACACACACACACACACACACACACACACACACACAAAACAAAAACATTTTGGTTCTCATGGAACATCAGCAGCTCCACATGACCTTAAATTTAGCTCTGTGTTTCTGTGTTGTGTTTTGATACTTTACCCAGCATGCACAGCATGCAGGGAGGAGTTTGATTTAGATGAGGCAGCGAAAACCTCCAGTACTTTGCTCAAAACTGAAAGCTGCACTGAGAAAAGATGTCTCACAACAATTTGTGGTGCAAAGTCACTCTGCGGAGAATTTGTTGGATCTGTCATTGGGGACTAACTTAATACTTGGAGATGTGCCACAATTACATAATAATGCTAAAAGAGTACAACGCACTCATAGCACCGTCAGATTCACAATGGACAGTTCACGACAAATATTAGAATTAGTCTTTTAATATTCTGGCGCCTATATTACCCACAATGCCACTCAACTGTACAGATTTTGGTGCGTTAGTAGCGGCTAATGTAGCCTTGTGCCACTAGCCACAAGCAGAGATGAGGAGCTGGTTACACAGGTCTCCTCAGAGAACATTTCCAAACTTTTAGTTTTCAGCCCCAACTCACATCACTTGAGGCAATTAATTAGGTTTGCGCCACTCCCTCTGGAGACACAAAAGACTTTATACAACTGTTTTTTTTTTCTCTTTACATATGCAGCACTGCTCCCTGACACCTGTGAACAGACTTTGTTGTGTACAATCCTGTGTGTTCCTTCCTTACACATGTAAATACACACGTTCTTCCTGTTGATTAAACGACTCTCCAACCAGCAGATTCATTTAAATCTGCAGCATGAATTAAAGGTTTTCTGATATTATTTACTGGATTAACCATTTCTCCATTTGTTGAGTCTTTGTTGTCACGCTCCACTGTTTCACTGTAATGAAACTAGTTGTTTGACATGCTCTGGTGTATTTACTTGTCACACCATCACCTCATCCAGCCCTTCTGCCTGTAATGCTGGTCAACACACATGATGAAAATAGCCTGAACGTGCTGAATTGCTTTACTTTCACTATTGAAAAATAACCCAACAACCATATGAGTTTGCATAGAAATACAAAAGAAGGAAAAAAACACAAGGTCTGAAATGTTTGTAAAGAAAATATCTCAAAATATTAAAAAGCAGAATTCTTAAATCTGTGAATTTTGTATACAAATGTTTGTATAACCACTTACAATCCCCTATAAACTAGAAAATAACAATGACAGGATCACTAATGATGATGCGACCAGTGCTCCCTCCAAAAATAAGACTAGTTTAATGTTTAATGTTACTATAGCTGAATATATCAGAGTAGAGAACTGTACAAACAACATCCACATGCAATGGAAAGCTTATAAGTGGACACCGAGTTATTTCTTTTTATCAAATTACAGCAGAGTTTGCAACAAATTATCTAAAATAAAGTCACAGTTATAAATTTGCTGTTCCACCTGATTATTATCTATTTTTATGCAGCACAGCCAATTCTTCAGAACTGAGATAAAAAACACTTTCAATGAAATCTTGAGGGGAAATAATATTTTGATTACATAAACACAGTTCCACTCCTGTCTTCATTTCGTTTTTAAAGGTGACTCATTATGGGATTCACACTGTTTACTCTTCAGCGTTTTTGATATTATTTTGAGTCGTGTTCTGCTTTTGCAATATTCATTGGTGGCCCTGCCAAGAGAGTGATGAAACAGATGTGGAACTGAGAGAGAGCGATGGGTGCGGCCCAGCCTCAGACCAGTTTATGAAACTTGAAGTGATTAAATTCTGCGGTTCAGTGTTATCAAATCTTATGAAACTCAAGAAAAAAATATCATTATCGATCTAAGGAGTGGTGGGAAGGTGAGTAAATAAAGAGAGTATCAGGACAGTTGCTCGTCCAGGGTAATCAGTTCTGATTTCATCATGAAGAGTAAGAGAAAAAAGGTCAACAAAAAGAAAGGCAAATGATGTGTATTGATCTAATGCATTCCAGCAACAAGTGCTCCCACTCAGTTATTTTGTCTTTTAACTTCCTGTTTACACTGTTAGCGGGGATGTGCTGTGTTGTGAAGATTGACATCTGATGTTTGTGATGATCCTGTGCCTGCAATTCAGCAAATGTCTGACCAGTTGTATTATATGAGGTAGAGCATGAGCTGCAGGTAAATGAGACTCTTGTACAACAGTCTGACAATCGCTGATCAACCGCTATTTACACAACGGCGCTAATTAGATCAAACAGCTGCCCACACAGGTCTGGGATCATATCTTACTGTTATAATAGTGATGGTGATCACAATAACAATATGATTAACATAGAATACGTGGTCTGGTTGTGTTTGTTTGAAACATATGTTAATATGGTCTTTCTTCATCCAAAACATGGGACATTTTCCATGACATGGACTTCTTATCATTTACCAGCTAATTATTCCAAATAACAATGTTCATTTTCCAGGACTTTTCCAGGATGATCTTGCTCATATGACAGACAGGAATCATGCCATACACCAATATATTCCTATGTGTGGAAGTTTGATTTAAAATAAGTGCAATCATCCAACCTACACCGACTTCAGTGTGCGTTTCACAGCATTGCCAAACTAAACTGATAGCAGCCTATTCAAAATACTCCGATATCTGTGGTGGACGTGTTTGTGCCAGGCCTTATGACCTCCTCTAAACTGTGGACGTGTGTTCCCAACTGTGAGAAACGTATAGCAGGTTGTGTGAAGCGGTGAGAATTGTGATTTTCTTTTAAAACTTGTGTACGAAATAATAGCAAGCGGAAGCTAAAAAACAAACTCGGCAATGGAGCCAAAAAACAAATGGACCGGCGGCATTAAGGTCAATAAGGAGAATCCGTGTTCATGTGTGAGAAAGAGGAGAAAATTCAGGAAATACAAATGAAGGAAAGAGTGAACGTAAAGAAAAATGGTGAAGGATGAATAAAGCCAATGATTCAGTAGAGGCGCTGCTTGTCCTCAACCTCCACAGCAAGTCCCCGTCCTCCTCCGCCTGCCAGCACAACACTAGAAAGCAGCGAGTGATTGAGGGCAGACAGCGGTGTTTAAGTATGGCCGTGTCCTTGGCAGCAGTGGGAAGATGAATACTGGAAGTGGCTCTGCATGATGCCAAGATCCCTGAATAACATTTGAAGGATTAGATTTATGAGCTTGCTGCTAAATGGGATTGATATTTTCTGTGTCCACTGAGGTCTGTGTCTGATATCATGCGATATGACGGATGAGGTAATTATTGTGCTACTGTCCAGGCTGGTGGTCAATTACACTCATATTTTTCCTCAAGTTGTCTGTGGGGGGCCTTTAATATGAGATGATGCTAATGAGACATTTTCATTGTCTTCTTTTGCTGAAATTTTAATGATACCTGGATGTCATTAGGAATCAGATCAGAAGAAAACAACTTGAAACAAACTGATCTGCACAAAGAATCCAGACATCTCACTTTGAGTGTGTTTGTCCGTGTGTTAATCAGGTACAGAGGTAAAATTTACAGCCCATAAAAAATCTGAATTGGATGGCACCTCGCCCCCATCAGGCCCTGTCAGCCTAACCTTGACTTCCTGTCAATAGCTGTCTGGTGTGGAGGGTAAAAAATGACAGAATAAGAAGATGAGGGGAGGACATGAATGACGGAGGTAAAGATGGAGGATGCAGAAGAGGCCATAAAAATTTGGATGGAAGTAAAAAAACAAAAAAAACAAAACAGAGAGGACGATAAATTTGGAGGAAATGTGGGAGAAAGAAGAGCACAGATGTTTTTGCTGCTGCATCACAAATACATCCACCCACTGCTGAACTGGTTAATGCATTAAATACAGTCTACACCACATGAACCAGGTTCACTCAATAAGATGATTAGCATTTATATTAATATGTCAATAGACACCAGTTCTGACATGCAGGTCAGACTGTGTCCAAATCAGATGTGGTAAAGGCAGGATGGTGAAGTTAGCTGACCGGATATGGTTACCTAGACAAAGAGCTGCTTTGAATGGACGAATAAATGAACATTAAAAAAATAAAACAAAACAAATACATCAAGCTTTGAAGAAGCTGAAACGTCAGCTTACGGAATAGAGTCTATGCTACATATTCTTCATTATAAAATGCTCCTGCTTTCATTAGAAGTAATTTTGTATGTAAAGTGAACAAAGAATCTTTAGCTGTAATGATAATGAAATGAGTATATTTTGACAACCCCACAAAGTCAATGATGATGTGTAGCAGAGTGACATGTTCTGTCTTTTCATGGTATTTAAAGCAGGTTTGTTTGCGTCTACTTTTATAATAAACTAAATAAACTGACTTCCACACTTTCAGTGAATGGCAGTATTACATCTGATTTTTAAAACTACATGTGCTTGAAATTATGGCTTTTAATGTAAACTAAATGTTTTTAGAGAACCTTAAATAAACAAGAAAGAAATTTAGCCAAGCATGATAAAATTGAATTTTCTTCATCGTTTTTTCTTTTCTCCACACACACACACGCACACACATTCACACAGACACACACACACAGAAACACACAAAGCACATGTAAATACACAGCAAACTGTCTTAAACACATCTTCCTGAACACAGTTATAGAACGATCTGAGGAGAGAAGCTTTATTAGCCACCACACATCACACTGTGGCTGACAACACATTTAAAGAGCCATTTGTGGCTACACACTCACACCCTCTCTCACACACACACACACACACACACAAACACACACACACACACACACACACACTCACACCCTCTCACACTCACACACACACACTCACACACACACACACACACACACACACACACACACACACACACACACACACACACACACACACACACACACACACACATTAACATAAACTCAAATATGCACAAGAGGGCAGTTAAGTAAAAATATAAAGTGACTATTAAGAGGAAGTGAGAGTAGTAACTGCCTGTGGCGTGTTGGAACATGTGGTGTTTTTCACAGTTTCTGTCTTCCTTTATTTGAGGTCTAACGAGCTGTAGTAGGCATTTAGTTGCAAATCCCTTTAGAAAGTTGTGAAGAGTGACCTGTGAGTACATTAATACATCCAATATATGGTTTGCAGAAACATGTGGGTGAGTACTGGTCTTTCACTGAGAATAAGTATTGGATTTAGAGGGCTTTATGTTTGCTTCTCACAGGATAAATCGGAACATGTCAAAGAGAAATAAAATCTGTTCAAGCTGTGTTAAAGCCACAGTATGTGATTTGGCCTGACCAGATAGGGGTCACATAGTGGCAGTAAAGAAACATCTCTACCTGTTGTTGGCATATAACATTATTGAAAGACTGGCACTGAGGTAAACTACACTATGGCATTTTCATTGTGAACAAACACAGTATTCATTGCATAGTGAATGGATTGGACACAGTGTGTTTCCTTGCTGCCTTCTTCTACTCTTTTATTGACTTATTTCTGTTACATAGATTTAACTGATCGTCCTCCCTCGTGTTCATGTTGAGTATGTGACCCCTCCTGCATCTAGTGGCAGAACGTGTGACCAGCTATTGATATTAAAATATTCCTCTACAGCCACTAGATCTAGAGCAGTGCTTTTGGTTTATGATCCCTTAAAATAAAACAATTTTGGGGTATCCTGGAGGTCAAGGAGTTTAAGCACCATCTAACTGCAACATCTCCAGTTTCAGAGTCCAAGCAGGGACCTTTCTTACCTGCCCATGGTTCTGTATGGCTTCTCATTTTCTGTCAGATCTCCACTGTCTGCTGTCAGATAAAGGCGGACGGACAAATGCCCAAGAAATACTTCAAAATAAAAAAAATGAAGCAATTTCTACATGTAACTCCTAATTACAAGTTGTGGGCTGTCCTGCCACTTTTCTAAAAAGAGCAAAGATTGGATGTAGGTTTTTTCTTTTTTATCCAGTTCATCATCCCATGAACCCTCTAAAGTATCTTGCAGCTGTTTTAAAGGATCCTGACCCCCAGGTTGGAAACCACTGCTTCTCAAATGTGCTGAATTTGACTCAAAACTTCAACAACTTCAATCCAAAGATGAAAATATACGAACACAAAATGGTTAATATACAGTTCTAAAGTGGCAGCTTGTGCAGTAAAGAGCTGAAGAGACACAAATGATTTTGGTACCAATCCACTGTTCAGATATTGGACAGCCAAGTGATTAAAGCTCCATATATTATAAAGATAGATGTCCATGTGTTGTTTGATGATAGATCAGGTCTAGGTTCTGTATTAATACTGTGAAAATATCAAAATGCTCATTCCACAGAGAAATGCACACAGCCTGTATTCAGTGAGCCTTAAAACATGCTGTCAGGACTTCTGGGACTTTGTGATGTCACAACATAGCAGTCACTGCTCTCAGCCAGGATTTGGTTTCTCTGAGAGTTTACCTGAAATATATATCTTCTTATGGATATCATGGATTATGGATAAATATTGGACCTTTAAAGGTCCAAACATTTAGATTATTTAAAACTCTTTGTATTATTCACTCTGTTCACTCTTTGTGTCGTTTCTCACCCTAACATTGTGTCCATGCTACACTACAGACACTACAGGTTCAGAGAGAGAGAGAGAGAGAGAGAGAGTGAGCGAGAGAGAGAGAGAGAGAGAGAGAGAGAGAGAGAGAGAGAGAGAGAGAGAGAGATATGTCGGACCTTATAGATACAACGGCCGTTCAATACCGGGTTTCAGTACCATCCCTACACACAACACAAATTATAGTTGAAAGTTTGGAACAGTCACTGCAGTTACTGCCTGGGACTGGTGAAACTGTTTACTAAGAAGGCTGCTGCATTATGAGAGCCTCTCTGTGGTCTGGAGGATTTATTGTAGGAAAAATGTATCTGTAATTAAAGAATTGATCGGCGGGCCGGCTGGACTTGATTGACGGGCCGGAGTTGGCCAGCGGGCCACCAGTTGAATAGGCCTCATGTAGAGCTACAAAACTCACAGATTCACTCAATATGTGATGTTGTAGTGATGTAACCTTGACAATGACCTTGGTTATTCTCTGGAGCTTTGTCTGAATGAATGACAACTTTGTGTTTTGTGTGTGTGACATCTCTGTCAGTTTGGGGGACGCAGAGCCCCAGTCCCTCCATAAAATGCAATGACAAGCACAATCATAAGAGGACAAAAGCGAAGGGTGTGTGTGTATAAAGATGTCATGTTTTTTTTCAAGTCTTACTTGAGCGTCTCTGCCAAGTAGAAGCTCTGTTGTACATCGTCGTGGTTTGGAGTGGAAGCGTAGACGTCTCTGACGCCGCTGTAGCCTCCTTCTACTCTACAATGCTGCTCCAAGGCCTGAATGGCAGACAGTAATACAGAGCGACAACAGGAAGAGATGAAGACAGAGAAGGGCGTCGGTGAGTGGCAACATCAATCAAGCTCTTTGTGTGCTTAAAAATATCACTAAACCTTTGGGTGCATAATTTGCTAAATATAAAAATAAGTTAAATAAATCGACCTTCTGTTAGCTTCCTTCCTGATTTGTTTGTTGTTTTTGAAGAGCATGTCAAAAACCACCAATTAATTCAATGTTAGTCCCTTAGTTTACTTGCCTGAAATAAAATCTCTTAACTCAAGTTCTTTGAGCAGTAAAAACAGATGAGAACATATTTGCCCAAACAGCCCAGCTATTCTTAAATGAAACATTACAAAAAAAAAAAAACTAGTTTCCTTCAGATGAACAGATATTTTACCTGAACAGCCTCCCAGCCCCACTCTCTGTATTTGGGGTCATGGGTGAACCTCCACATGTACATGTAGGTCTCGATCACCTCGGGACGGAGGATGAAATACTTCTCGTTCTGGCGGGTGGCAATGGCCTCGACGCCGCCGTCGAAACGAAACGCCTCTGGACCCAGCTTCAATGCTACGGAGGAGGAGAGCATGATAAAGAAAATACTGGAGATGTAAAGAATCATACAGTCTAACGTTACTGCTTAAAAATGAGGGAAACCAAAGATAATGTAACATAATGTGAAGACAGTGAGTTTCTGGCTTTTTACTTCACTGTTTCTGTTATTTACCCACATATCTACATATTAATACATTTAAGTTATGCATGTGGCTGCAGTGTGGAACAATGTCAAACAAAATAATGTCATTTCACTGCTGGTGGTGATGTTTTCCAGAGCTGGATATAAAGCACTGTGACTCACAACAGGACTTGGGGATGAATTAATTTGAGGAAGAAAAATACAATTATTTGATTGAAGATATGAAAAATAACAAAATGCAAACCCTCGACATATGGCACTCAATATAATAAGACTTTTAAATTACTTTTGAGCCAAACACTAATTTAACTCATTTGACTTTCCTGCTTAAAAAGGATGACAAACGCATGGACGGCATTCAAAAACCTGACAAGATGATCACTAATTTAAGTAGAAGAACAATAACTACAATAATAAATAAAGTAATAACTTATTGAAATGAGCAATATGGCCAATAAAAAAAGCCAATATTCAGAAACACATTTGGTTCCTAGTAACTTTTTGTACAGCAACTAATCTGTAAGACTTTCCATTGAATGAACACTTATGATTTAATTTGATAGAAATTTTTTAATAACACTGGAACAAATTGAAAACAATGACCCCCATGAAAGTAGCCAACTAAATCAAAACTGTCAAACTTAAAACAAGTGTGTCCAATTCTACTGGAAACATGAATGATTTTAGTGTCGCCTTTGTGTGTGTTTGTGTGTGTGTGTGTGTGTGTGTGTGTGTGTGTGTGTGTGTGTGTGTCTGTATATTTACCAGTCCTGGCGTAAGACTCATGACAGGTCCGGGCGATCTCGGCGGCCTGCTCCATCTGGTGGCCCGTCTTGTCGCTGGGCGCCCCATCGGCGCCCAGAGCGATCATGCCACCTGCGAAACAGGTCAGGTGACCCATCTTATGCTCCAGCAGCCCCCCCTTCCACTCCGCTATGTAGGTCAGCCCACCACTCGACTTCCTCATCAGGTTGGTTTCTATCGCCTGGGAAGAACAAAGAGTAATGAGGGGTGTGTTAGGATTAGTCGAGCATTGGTAAGAAAACCATTTAATTTAATTGTGATAATCCTCCTCTCATTACGAGGTAAATTTCAGAGTGTAAAGTTTATGTAATGAATGGATTTTTCCACATACAGGATATAGAGGAACTACAACTGTATCTGTTTCCCTTTTTTTTTTTTTTTCTTTTTAGAAATAAACTTATTTTAGCTGTTAAACAGACGCGCATAGTTGTTAACCACAACCACAGCAGAACTTGATGACACTCGGTTTACGCTGCTAAATCCAGACTAATTACATTTCTCTCCACAAACAATGACCAGTTAGATGTTATTGTCAGCAGATAACTACCTTCAGGTTTATACCTGCGCACAGTTAAACAAGCCAATGGTTGGTGGACAGGACATGAGACTGCTGCTTTCTGCACATGATCCTCAAACTTCAGCAGAAAATATAGATCTTAATAACATGGTTACCACAGGTCTCCATGACATGATTTCCAAAAAGAAGTGATGGATGTGGGTGTGTGGGTAGCACTCAAAGCAAGAGGCACCGTAGGTTTTAATATGTATTTTGAGCGTTCTGACCCTTTAACACGGCCCGGATTTCACAGAACCAGACTGTGGAGGAAGGACACCAGTGTTATCGTTTCATTTCCCTGCTGTGACTCACATATTCACCCTGTGCTGCTTCCTCTCCCATCCTCCTTCTTTTGACAAATACATCATCCTTGAAGATCCAGGGGGATTATGGGTAAAGTACCCTTGCGAGTTTAATTCTGTATTTTAGTCGGCATGTATTATATTTGCTCCCTGGTGTGTGTTACTGAAACACATTTCTTGTCACCACAATTTCAGTTGACAGTTTGTCTGCTCAAGTGTGAGTGTCTATATATATTCTCTTTAGGAGGGCTGTTGTTAGTGTTACTACATTCATCTGCTCCGTGTCCTTTTTATATAAATGTGTGTGTCATGTTTGTCTTCCTCCCCTCTGCTCAAACTCACTACTAGGTTCCTAAGGAGCAAATTATTAAAAAATATCATAAAGTTTGGCATTAAAATGCTCAAAAATCATGTTACAGTCTAAGCTGCGGCATAAAATATATAGGGTAATAACATGGTCGTCATTTGAATGATTCCTTTCATTATCTCATGGGCAACACTTGCGTAAGCATCAAGGTTATGTGGGTGACCGGATTCCTGTAACATCCTCTACAGGGAGAAATAAATAAATACAGCAGCAAGACCACTTCTCAATAACTGAAGATGACCTCACGTTTGAGGTCCACTATCCAGCAGCCATTCATTATGACAGAGAGGGAGGCATGAGGGATAAAAAAAAAAAAAAAAAAAACCCTGCAGGGAAAATCCATGCAGCTCACCATCTGTAAACAGCGTGTTCAAACCCTGATTTTATCCCTTCAATGACCACAAGTTCAAATCAGAGGTCACCGCTCCCGTATCCTACATCTATTGTTTTCTAGAGGTTACCCATGTAGTGCTTAAGTTTTCACGTATTGATAAATTGATTGAAATACCGAGCAAAGTGACATCACTGTTGGTCGTTCAGGCGTGCTACAGACCACAGTTGTCAGTGCTAAGAAGTGCAACAGATTGGAAATTACAACCCACAGAGATCAGAGCTGTGTAATGTGGTAGCTGAGACGGAGAGGGTGTTTTACAACATTCACAGATGGTGCTTTTAGGGACCTGCAGATAGGTGAGAAATTATGGTTTCTGCTCCAGTAGCATAGTTACAGCATCAGCCACAAATGAACTAAATGAAAAGCTATTAAACTTTTATATAGTCTATATTACTACATTAAAAGTTATCATTCACACAATATAAAAGGAAGACAACAGCATTCAAACGCTCTGTTTTAGAGGATAGTCACTAATGTAGTGAAAGTATAAGAAAAATAACCTAAAAGGCAATATCATTCTTCTAAACAACTTCTAAACTCTGTAGCATCTAACAAATAATATCTTGCTCCACTGGTATGTAGGAAACTTTTAAAATTGGATATGCCTGATCACCATTTCAACTCTTATAGTCTTCACTGCTCTCACAAACATGGAAAAATATTCAACATATACCCTTGAAATATTTCATTCACATAAGAACTGTAGGCAGTGGGTTGACACAGCGTCGTCGCCAGATTTGGCTCAGAATCTCTTCACTAAATTCATAACTTTTTTTCCCAATCAAGATCAATAAGACGCAAAATCAACGATAAAGACTCTGGTGATGTCAATGTTAATGACAAACAAAGAGGGTATTAACCTAAAAAAGTTAAGGTGGTGCTAAAATGTGAAGTTTAGGGCTTATTTTCACTTACTTTCCATTTTTTGGTTGATAAAAAATTAATCATTTCATTCATTTGCAGATTATTTTTCTTTGACAACTATGACATCTATGGCTGCAAACTCAGCTCTGTGTTTCATTCTCAAAGAGTCAAAGTCACCTTAACCCTTACTGAATAGCTGTCGGCTGTGTGTGTGTGTGTGTGTGTGTGTGTGTGTGTGTGTGTGTGTGTGTGTGTGAGATACCTGCAGGGCATCATAGTACATCTTCTTTCCTTCCTCATCAGTCCTGTCAGACATCAGCCAGGCCTTGAGCAGGTACTCATAGAAACTGTCACCAAGGCCACCTACGGACACGTGATCTGCAACATACAGATAAACAAAGATTAGAACACACACACACACACACACACATCAACATGCATACACACACCTCCTATGTGTCTGCAGGTTCAGATTACAACTGCCATCATTGTTGGACCATCCATAGATCATCCCCACATAGCGCAAAAATACCTACAGCTGATGATATATTACAACATGCATGTGTGTGTGTGTGTGTGTGTGTGTGTGTGTGGTAATTGTAGGTGAGCATCTAGCCAGCCCGATATGTCCTCTTGCATTTGCTCTGCTGATTGTCAGTGACGGCTCATCCATATGCAAGTGTCATTAACAGAGTCCGGCCTTGTTTGTAGAGTGCAGAGATTAAATGTCAGCCGCAATCATCTTGACGTGAAAAGAAAGGAGGCTCGGCAGTGAGGACGCGCTGGGTTTGCGAGCCGATAAGAGTACCTGGCTGTCCACGACCAGCATTAAACCGAGAACAGGCGCGCCACACAATCGAGAGAGATGACACAAGCTTAAAAATAGAGCATCAATGATCTGCCAAACAACACTTCAACAGTCTGATTATAATTAAAGTCATGGAAAACGATTACAAATTTATGCACAAATGTGTTTTTTGATGCATAATTAGAGGCAGAGAGAGGATGGGAACTATGACTCACATGTGGTAACATAACAGCTGTTTGCTTATAACATAATCCTCCAAAAACATGACTAGGTCTTATATTTACAGTATATGAAAGAGACGGGGTTGAGTGCTGCAGGAGAGGCTGTGGTGGAGAGATATTTTTCAGACAACATTAGGCTGCAAACATCCCAAGGTCATAATTTATTCAACAAATGCATTCCCATCACTATTGCATAATTTCTTTCCCGATGAAAAAACCCTCTCTGACTAAGACGAGTATAAAAGCGTTTTTAGCGAGCGAGGATTTTTTTTTTTTCTTTTGTTGAAACTTGCTGTTTCTATTCAGCATTGCAAATTGAATATGTCACGATTTGCATAAAATACTTGGATGAAAACACAGGTACTGGCTCTGGTTAAGAGTGTCAGATAAATGCCAACAGTTATAACTGTGGATGCGCTTTCAGTAGTTTTATTTAATATTTCAATGCATCAGATAATAAAAGGTAAGCAGATCAGGGGGTGCAGGTCCACGTTTTTAACCATCACACACACTAACAGCCCTCTGGTAAAAGGATGGGCATCAAGAACAAGACCAGACAGGACTCTAATACATTCAGAAGCATATCAATGGTTATGTATAAAAAAAAAATAAAAAAAAATGGATCAAAGGATTTCTAATTTAATGCCAAACTTTTCTCGTATAAATCAAGAGAATTATGCCCTGATTTTATGTAGAACAGAGGCTGGCCTGAACAAACATGATACTTTTACAAGATAAAATTGGTGCTGGAATAATTAAGCATGAAAAAGTTTCATTCATTTCAAATCTGAAATACTCAATAGCTGGGAGAAGGGAAAAAAAGTCTCAGTAGATCCTCACAACTTTAGAGACACTTCTTCAGCTTTTCGGGTGATTTGAATCTCTCCTTCCACCTCTGGATGTGCGGCTCTCCGACTGATTCAGACACCACAGGCTCACAACATTAAATTACAAAGAACACGATGATTCGATGTTTTGTATGCATAACAGTGCTTCAAACAAATTTAGTTTTTAATCCATTATTGGTCTAATTTGCCTAATCTTCACAGTTCTTGGTCGGTTGAAATGAAAACACAGCAGGCTAAAGAATCATTTTCCTCATGCTGTGTTTAGTTCCTGGTGCTCCACAGTTCCTGGGTTCATCTGGTCAAAATGGCGATTAAGGATTAAGACATTTCTTTCAAAGAGTTTTGGCAAAAGTGCTGCTGAATACCTGACTTTCATTTGACAACTCCAACTGGCTCCCATGTTTCTATGTTTTTATCGGACGTGAAAACTGACGACAACTTGCCGGGAGATTAAAGGAATAGTTTGACATTTTGGTAAATACACTTATTCAATCTCATCTCATCATCATGTTTAATGTGTACAAAAACGAAAGTATAAACAGTCCTGGTTTATGTCATGGTAACTGCCAAGAAATGCATTCTGAAATTGTGGTAAAACATGACTAGGTCTTATATTTACAGTACACGAAAGAGACAGGTCCTTTACAGAAGTCTTTTTCATGTACGTTTTTTGGTTTAGTCTGCCTGTATCAGCCTCTCTCTGTTAGTGACGACAAGAGATAATCGTCTCTTGGTTGTAGCTATACATTTACCATACGGACAAGAAAGTAGCGTCATTTTTCTCATCTAACTTGCAGAAATAAAGCGAGTGAGAGTCTTGATAGTTTGATATAGGAGCTATGTCACCGTGAATTTGCTCTGAAGTCCAGCTTCTGATCTCTGGTGGTCAAGAATCTCTCAGAGCAGCTTTAAGAAAAGGGTTGGAAAATGGATTTTGATATCAGCCCCACTCCTGCAACTTGTCAGTGTCATTTTCATTCTATCTAGTCAGATGACGGTTTTCTCCAACACTTGACAACTGGTATTAGGAGAGACTTCTACTGCCTCTGCCCTCAGCCAAACTACACCTTACATTACTTTTCTATTATACATTGCTCTGTTCTGTAACTCAATATGTTATTCTCTCTTTTTTCACGAACACCTACAAACTCTCATCTTCCTCAAAGTCTCACTATCATTATCATCATTACCTGTTCAGCTGCACAGTTTGAAGAGTTTGATAATGGATTTGAAATTATACCTTGTTACTGCAACCTGTCAGAAACATGAGCGTCTCAGCAGACGCATGTGCACACAGCGATATTAAAGACAGGAGCTGGGGGTGGAGTACGTGTGAAAAGTATGAAAATACTTGACAGTGACGCGGGTAAATAGTGGGTTGCAGTAATGTAAAGAGAGTCAACAAGGTTCAAATGGAAAGAGGGATGACGGGGAGAGAGATAGCAGAGGAAGAAGAGGGGACCACTGCTCTAACACTGCTAGTACAATTTAAAAATAACCTCCACAAGTTATCATAAACAATAGATCCTCTGTCGCCAGAGATTCAGGCCTCCAAAATAAAAATACTCAATTTGTATGGCACTTTTCATACAGTGCAACTGAGTGCAATTCAATCTGCTTTTCAAAAGAATAATGAAAGAACAATGAAATGTGTGAGATGAAATGAGAGGGAGAAGATGAAAAGTTAAATTCATTTCTTGGAATATAAATATAAATTATTACATAACTGCTAATCTAAAAGAATACATATGACCCAGTTTTTTTTCTGCGGTCGAGACTGAGCCTATGTGGTATGCGCTCTACCAGGTGAGCCACCGAGGCGCCCCTCATTCCTTATTAATATGCTGACTATTTTCTCAATTAATCAATGTTGCAGTCCATAAATTGGAAGATATTAATAAATTCAAAATGACTTGTTTTGCCCGACCAACAGAGCACAAGCAGATTTAAAAAAAAAAAAAAAAATTATTATCATGGATGACTAAGAAAAGCAGCAAGTATTCACATCTGAGAAACTGCAACCAATGAATTGTGGGAAATTTTGCTTAAAATGACCAAAATAGTTCCTGATCAGGTTTGTATCAATTGACTGATTTACGAGGTTTGAGTTCTGGATTATAGTATAGTTGAGAATACGTCAGTGGATGTTAAAGAAATGGTAGAAAGGGATAATTAATGTACAATAATTAGGGGCAAGCTCGTGGACAGTTTAAAAAAATAATGAACACCTTTCCAAATTCTGAATTCTGAGCTGGAGACAGTGTCGTAGTGATTACAATAAGAGAATGATATGTGCACTCTCCTGCTTTTCGTCAGAACAAATTACAGGTGTAGAATAGTTTTCTTTGAAAGATCAGCACAAAGTGCACTGCGGTAATCTAGACAAGTTGTAATTTGCATGTCATCTTGGGAGAGAAAAGGTCTGACCTCGGTGACATTCTTCAAGTGATAAATGCAAATTTTATTAATGTTTCTGATATCAGACTCAAAGTCCAGGTTACTATTAAACCCGAGGTTTTCAGCCTCTTATTTTCATCTTAATTACACTGTGTTTAGGCATGAAATTACCATCTGTTAACTCTGTCTACTTCATCTGCGGCAGAAAAGAATGAGCGAGTCTTGCATTTGTGTCCGAAATACACCTTAAAATATGTTAATAGGGCAGGAAGAATTTGGCTTGATTAATGTTATGCAATATAATGCATACATGACTGTTCCGAACAGCATAGGCTACCAAGAAAATGACAAGCCCAAGGGCTGAGCCTTGAGGAACATGATACAAAATGTTTACTCTTTAAACTAAGAGACAGAGAAGACCAACTCATTTTACTGCTGGTTAATACGGATCGTCCATTGTCTTTCGGAGTAAAAAGACACTGACAACTTAAATCCGCTTTGATGCGAGTGCTGACTCAGCAACTGGAATATCTAGCTCTGTAGAAGAGAAATGGGGGCAGCACATGTGTTGAACAGGTGCAGGGGAAGCCCTCAGGTCTGAATGGTGACGCTCAGTTAAAGTCGAGTAGTAGCTCTGACTCTCCAATTGTTTTTCTTAATGCATGAGTTGGCTGTGTCAAGACAAATGAGCACGCAGGGTGAATGTTTGTGATGATCACCTTTGAATCATCTGACTAATCATGTGTTTATATGTGGCCTTGTTATTTTACTAACTGCGGTATCTGGTGAGTTAACCGTTGCTGAAATGCATGTCTCTGTTAGATGATTGCTGACAGTGGTCAGTAAATGTATGTTATTGATAAAAATGAGTTTCCCCTGCTGAATTTGCCTGCTGGCATTTACACATGAAGATAAAAAACAAGGAGAAGGAGCGCAGGTTCTGGTTGGCACAGCATCTGAGAATCAATCCCAAGCTAAAGGACGGTGTCTCTACTCAAGCACCGCTATGATATTTAAGTATAACACACGTAGGAGTTGCAGGAGAAAGACTTACGTTGGCCCCACTGCCCGCTGTTTGGGTTTAGGTAGTTGGGGTACAGCCCCTGAGGTTTGTCCAGGCGGTTAAGAACTTTCCGGATGTTCATTACCTATTAATTAAAAGAAATAGAACACAAATGCAACAGGTAAAGCTCAATGCAAACACCACAAGTGCAGTGCATTGACAAGGAAGTACGTAAAGTGTTTATATGCAACAAAATGTGAAATACTATCTGTATGTGGAAATAAGGTAAAAGAGGAGAAGAGTGTGGAGTCATTGCTGACTCATTTTTGATTCCAGGAAAGCATCTCTGTAAATCCCCCCCCGACATTCCAGACACTTCAAAAAGTGCGAGAGTGCGAAAATCCTGTGTAAAAGCAGCCAGCAAGTGTGAAAAAGGTAACATTTTCTAGTCTCCTCTGCTTGTGTTACCTTCTGAGCAAACTCAGGATTTCCAGAGAGTTTGCTGAGGTGCATGAACTCCAGATGCAGGGTGCCGTACTCTGCCAAGATGCTGCTGCCACCGGATGCCCACGGCCAATTTCTACCAATCCCACTGCACAAGGAGGAAAAGAGAGGGAGACGGAGGCGTCCATTAATAAAACAGAATAACAAAAAGAAGCTCTGAAAAATGCAAACTGCAAAAACTTTGGTGTGTTTTAGTAAATCATCTAACTGTGTTCTTTAGAGCCACATGGAGAATAACCTCCTCGCAAGTTTTAACTTGTGCAACACTTTATATTCATTCTTAATAACACCCACAGGTGGTTTGTGGACAATTGCACAAGAATACAGTATGAGTCATGTTAGAAAAGCCATTCATCAGAAAACTACAAAACCTTCTCGTCTTGTTACTAAACTAACAGCTGAAAAGAGGCAAGAAATCTTCAGAAACTCCGATTAAGACTCTTTTTCTCAGAGTCTTTAAATTGTGAAGACGGCTAAAACTCTGCTGTACTTTACATGTTATTAGAGAAAGTCATTAGGATTTATCATCTGTTGCTGTCATGAGAAGAGATTCTTAAAATGGATAAAGAGTGAGGTGCATTCGTGACATTAAAATTAAACTAAACTTCACATTCCATCTGTCATATCTATGATCAGGATTAGTTTTGCCTTTTCACACACTTGACTTGGGCATCACATCTTATCCTCATTGGTGTGTATCTGTCAGTGAGTCAGAACTTGCCGGACCCCACCCTCTCCCCTGACGCTGCTTGTAGTGACAATGAGGCTGGCATCGACTCCCAGGCCATATGTGAAAGCCTGGCGCACTTGACAAGGACAGAAGACTTAGCAACAGGGTGTGTGTGTGTGTGTGTGTGCTGGATCATTAGAGCAACTGACAGATTACTTCCAGGCCAAGGACTGATGACTCTGGTGGGCGATGCCTCAAGTAACTACTCATGAATACATATTAACAATTCACTACACTGTGAAACACACAGCAGGATGTCTGCACTACAATAACTACATGGGGACACATGGTCATAAACTGCGCGCGCGCGCGCGCACACACACACACACACACACACACACACACACACAGAGGAAGCAGAAGCAGGGGAGGCATCCAACAAATGAGAAAAAGGGGGAGGAGAAGGAGTGCAAATTGGGAGAAGTGCCACACACACACACACACACACACACACACACACACACACACACACACACAAACACACACACACCTCTTCAAAGAGGTGGCTGAACATACTAATTATCCCCTCTTCAACTCATCATGCTGCACAAGCCATAATTTGTTTCCCATTACACCATGGATTTAATCAAGTCAACCAAACACAGGGAGGACCACCGCAGCATCAGGCGGCGAGCACGGAGACAGAGATCAGGGTCAGAGAACGGAACTGCTGAGGAAAAATCCCATCACTGCAGACCCTGATTAAATTGGGAGCCGTGTGTTTGTTAGTCGTAGACTGACGCAAACGTTAAATAAAATTGGATAGAATTACCTGCACAAATGTTTAATGTCAGCACTGCTACACGGTTGACATGATGTATTATTAACTTAAATCCAAAATATAAATACATTCTGGTGTTTTCTGTTGCTTCCAGAGGAGTACAACGTTATTTCTTTATCTCTACCACTGCCTCCACCTCCCCTAAGTCAACCGTAGACCTGATCCGTCTATCCATCTATTTCAATCCCTTTATAAACCCCGTGATGAACGATAAATCCGTTCTCCTGGCAGGAGGGGGGTGGGGGGTTAGGCAAACAGACACCTTTCCAACTCACCCCTGTCCACCTCAATCCCCTCCCCAAAGCCCTGTTGTGAGAAACAGTAAATCCCTGTTAAGGAGAACAAAACAAAAGACAGCAGGGAAAAGCTGCCGCGTAAACCAAACAGACACAAACCAATGGAGTGCAGATATAAAGTATAACACTGGAGACAGATAAACGAGGGTGTGTTTGGGATATTATTAATCTGGCCAGGGTGTCTGGAAGTTTCAGAAAGACAAGTTCAAGACTATTTGAGATGTTTAATGTTGCTTGGAGCCTGATGAAAAATAAGGATGCTTAAAAAACCAGAGTGATCGAGGGCAGTCTGCTCGTCTGAACACAACTATTGAAGTTATTAAACTATGTGGGTAAAATAAGACACAGAGCATATACTTAAAGCAACATTATGCAATGTTTGAAAAGAATAAATAACATAATCTTCCTCATTTTCTATTCATAAGCACTATAAGCCTTACTTGGTCTGGTATGACCAGTAGCTTATGGTTGCTAATGTTAGCAAACGTTAGATTATTAGAGTTAGAGTATTTTCCTCTATAAATGACATTACTGAGTCAACTCGCTGACTGCAAAGTGCACATACATTTGTAATAACGCTGTGACTTTTAATATGAAATTCAAATTCTATTCAGCATGGTGAAGGGATTAAATATTTGCTCCGTTATCCTGTGCTCAAATTCAATATTTACAGTAGGCAGTAAGAAAAAATTACACTGCAATTGCATTTCAATGCAAGATATGAATAAATAGTCCCAAATTTAACTGATTAGAAGACAGTGGCAAACAAAAAAACGTATCTAAAAGAACTGAGAGTTGTTTTTTTCCAGATATGAGGTACATAAATGCTAAATGCTGCTTCTGTGTGTTTAGTCTGACTCTGAGGACAGTAAACAGGCCTGAGAGGTCTGGACCGGTAATAATGTAGCAGCAGATCAGAAATGTAATTTGTTATTGAAAAGTGTTTTCTAAACCATTCAGAAGCTGGCCAGCCATGTCGAATGCATGACGAAAGTATCTGAGAAGCAATGCGTCTACTGCACCTATTATTTTGGGTTCTACAGCAACATAGGAGTGAGAATTATGGTTTTAGGAAGGTATGGTTACTGACTTTGTACATGTTAGTTGCTAGGCTACAACACAAGGCAGTAGAAGCTCCACAAATTAGCAGAATGTTAATCTTCAACAATTTAGTTTAGGATTAGACTATGTTGGTTGCACTGAAATTAATATGAACTACTACTATCCCTGCACTGTATTAATCTAAGGAAGGACGACACCTGTTACTACCGCAGGGAGAGGCTGGTGAGGAAACCGAATGGACACAAACCAGCAAACATCAGTGGTGTCAGAGAGATGAGGGTGAATTTGAAATAAAATGCATCCATCAGTCCGACCTCTCACTGTGGCTGCTTGCATTACCAGCTTTCAGTGACCGACCTTTGATTGAAATGATGTATTATTGCTGCTAAACCCCATAAAAACACCAGGTCAGAGCTGCTGTTTCCACTCCATTTTGGGACTAAATGAATTTGTTTGAATAGCTACTGAGGGACATTCATGTCCGGTGTTCCGATGGAAACTCATTGTTGCTCCAGTCACTTCCCGTACTGGGAGTGGAAACTGGCATTCATCCACTGGCATATGGTGCAATACAACTGTATTAGTCCATCTGATGGGAGTCCAGTGTTGTGTTTGAGTGGTGCTGCAGACGTCCCGGTGGCCCAGTTTACAGAGCACTGTTTACAACTAGCATGCTCTACATCCCTTCTCTCACATGGGATGTAATGAGACTTATTACAAGCTCTAAGCTATAAAAGAAATAGTTTAGTTTATGACCTCTTCTTGCATTACAGACCATATTGTAATACTGCAAGAAGGTTTGAACATATATCTGTACAGACGTCTCAACTGTCTTGCATCCCAATTTGCAGAAATTATCTAGCAATGATATCTACTGTAAGATGATATTGGATTTCTACTGTTATCTGTTTTCTTGTGATCTCAGTTGGCTTCATTTCCAAACAGTAAGGGGCATGAAGATTCATATTAAAACTGGCTGGATAAAAAGTCTCAGTTTGTTTGAATTCAGCTCCCTGGCAGGAGTCACAGTGGTGCTTCTAACTCTCCATCATCACGCTGTCCTTTGATAAAATTGCTCTGCTGATGAGCAATGCTTTAAACCAACACAAGTAATGTAATGCAGCATGCTGAAAAACATTCAGTAATTCTCTTTAATTAAATGTTACGGCGACCTAGAACTGGAGGACGTTTTTTTTTTTAGAGATTATGTCAGGCTTATGTATGTATCAACGCTGACATTGAACTTTCATTATAAATCAAGAGATCAGCCGGCATCATCCACATCTGATAGAAGTGATATGATGCAGTTTGTTTGGTTAATAGGAGTCCATGCCCATAAATTTTAATCAATTTGCTCAGAGCCCACATTTCATCCTGTTTCATGACTTTCACCATGAAGACATGAAGTCAGGCCATTCTGTCACTACGAATGGAGGACATTTGGGTGTTTTCAATCTCAACTTTTAAGCCAAATGGCAAGAAACATTTAAATAATAGACATTTCTGTCAGCTTTTTAAGGACTATAATACAAGCTCTGTTAAATATTAGTTAAATACGACACTATAATTAAATTTAAGTCTCTACAATTGTCCAATATTCAAACTAAAACAAGCTGTAAAAGCTACTGAACCTTAGCTAATAGCTTAAGTGAGAGGCTACAGATGGAGGATGGTTCGAGAATGAAAACGCTGGTCCATCCAGGCTACTACAGTCTTTGAGAAGTGAAGGTTTCCCATACACCCATCATTGCTGGACAACTCAGCATTTCAACATCTGTACTTTTATTGTAGAAATATTTACCAAGATAATCAGACATCATATATTTGCTCCATTGTGCTGTCTGCCTTTTAGGTCAAGAAACAAAAACCTGAAGTCTCCAGGAATCCATGCAAAAAACATGGCCTCGACCTAGAAAAGAAATGGGTCGTTACAGATTGATGCTACTGTGAATTACGTTTACATTGGAAGACATATTCCCTGCCTTGTTTATCCTGTTTGTCCTTTTGGGGGTGTCCTATCTCTTTATTATTCAACCTTTCACACCTATAGTCATTGCCTGACCAGCTGTGAAATGACGAATTGTAGCTTACTGGTTTTTATACCCTCCAGTCCATTCTGCAGAGCCAACAGTGGTGATTTTAATTCTATGCCACCAAAGCAGGAACCTGGAAAAACGGAAAAAGGCATTCCATCTCCATAAATTAGCATGTCACACCAG